AATAAAAATTTAAAATTCTAATAAAAACATTTATTAATGGAATGTAAACAGTTCTTTCAGGGAAAATTTTTTTAAGAAAGGAGACAAAGGTGACTCCAAATCCTTTTCTCAAATATTGTTGGCAGCTGACATACACCGAGGGCTTACCTTGAGCCTGCGTTGTTTTAAACACATTGTGTATATTTGTGTATCATCTCATTGACTCCACAGTGAGCAATAGAATGTTCATTCTGTTATTTCACCTATCCTATCATGGGAAAGAGAAGTTATCTTTAAAAAGCATTGTTAGGGAGAGAAAAATGCAGTTAAAAAATAAAAGTTGTAAGTCTCCAGGAACATAGGAAATTTCTACACTTGCATTAATTTAATAAAATACTCAAAAATTGTACAAACCACTATTTGGGAGATCTCCAGGGGAGAATTACTAAAAACATCATTCTACTAGAAAATTTCAATACTTATGGAAAGACCGAGCACACAAAAAGTTAGCTAAGTGAGAGTCAATTTAATGAGACAAGTAACATGCTTAATTCATGACCACATAGAGAACTGTCATTTACAATTAGAAAATATATGTTCTCTCAAGAAACTCTTCCAAAACTGGGCCATACGTCACTCCATAAACCAGTCTCAACAAATTTGAAAGAATTAATAATGCAGATTTTTCTGACAACTGGTAGTAAATAAGAGTGTTTTGCATACATCTGCAGATTGGAAATTCTCAGTAACAGGTGGAAGAAGAAATTGTGACAGAAACTAAAAATGCATAATACTAAGCAGTAGTGAAAATACTTTTCTACCCATTAAAACTGACAGACTCAAAGAAGTAGTTAAGAACATTTATAGCACAGTTGTGATTATATTAGAAAAGAAGAAATGCTGAAATTAACAAGCTCAGTGTCAAACTTAAAAGTTAAGAAAAAGAGAGTGATGAGATAAGAGAACTGGAAGTAACGAAATTGAAAGTATAGGTATAGTATTATCTCCATCTGACCCATGAACCACACATGCATGAAGAGAAGCCCAGCAGATCAACTGAAGATAAAATGTCTGAGCTGAGAGTGAAGCTGCTCTCCAGAAAGGCAAAGTTGGCCATCCATGTTTAGCAAAGAAATTACCTGCTGTAGAAAAGGAGACAACAGTCACTGGAGAATATTAACAAACCCAGTAAAAGTTGGACTGTAAAGAAAGCTGAGTGCCAATGAATTGATGCTTTCAAACTATGGTGCTGAAGAAAAGTCTTGAGTCCCTTGGACTGCAAGAAGATCAAGCCAGTCATTCCTAAAGGAAATCAACCCTGAATATTCATTGGAAGGACTGCTGATGAAGCTGAAACTCCAATCCTTTGTCTACCTGATGCGAAGAGCTAACTCATTGGAAAAGACCCTGATGCTGGGAAAGATTGAGGGCAGGAGGAGAGGGGATGACAGAGGATGAGATGGTTGGATGGCATCACCGACTTGATGGACATGAGTTTGAGCAAGGTCCGGGAGTTGGTGATGGACAGGGAGGCCTGGCGTGCTGCAGTCCATGGGATCACAAAGAGTCAGACACAACTGAGTGACTGAACAACAACAAAACCCAGAGTGTCCAGAAATTAATTCACTATGTCTGGGAAATAATGAAAAATTACCTTACATACAAAGAACCAAGAGAGAATGGAAGACACTTTCAACATAAAAGTCATTGAATCTGATCGTGAAATGAACCTTATTTTGGAACTGAGAGACAAGGATTTTATAAGATTCTTTATTTGTCCTCATGAGTTAACGTGATCATGTTTTTAATAAATGAAAATCCCAAAGGAAAACCTCAGCAGAAAAATAGACATAATAAAAAGAACTGAATGGACTTTCCTAAACAGAAGAACACAGATTCTGAAATTTTTAAATTCACTGTGTGGATTTGATAGTCAAATAATTGTGACAGAACAAAGACAAAGTGACTTTGATGATAGATCAATAGAAATGATTTCAATAGAAATGATTCAAGGTGAACAGAGAGAAAAAAATTCTTTAATGATCAGAGCATCAGAGTTTGTTAGATAACATCAGGGTGCCCAATATATGGGAAACTGGAATACCAGAAGGAGAGGGGACAGATAAAGAAGTAGAAAAATTATCTGGCAAATAAATAGCTGAATATTTGGTGAAGATATAAATTTGCAGATACAAGATGCTCATTAAACATCAAACAGACATCATGCAGGCCCCCTCTAAAGTGCATCGTAGTCAAACTGCTGAAAACCAAAGACAGCAAATAAATCTGAAAAGCAGCAAAAGTGCACAGAAATGACATGCAAGGAAATAATTCCGTGAATAGTTGACTTCTCATTAGAAACCATGGTGACCAGAAGAGAGGGGAATGGAACTTCCACTAAAAGGGAAAGAAAACATTAACCTAGAAATCTGTATTAAGAGAAATACCTTTCAAGAATGAAGGCTAAAGGAAAAGACTTTTAGACAAAACAAAGTTAAAAGAGTTAGTTGCCAGCAATTCATATAATCAGAAATCCTAAAGAAAATTCTTTAAGAAGTAGGAAAATTTAAAAAAAAATTTTAATTGGGGAATACATGTAAATCCATGGCTAATTCATTTCAATGTATGACAAAAACCACTGCAATGATGTAATTAGCCTCCAACTAATAAAAATAAATGGAAAAAAAATTAATTAAAAAAATTTAAAAAAGAAGTAGGAAAATGATATCTGATAGAAACTCATATTTTTGATAAAATTATTACCATCAGTAATGATAAATAGTGGATAAATGCAAAGAACAATTTTTTTTTTGCTTTTTCTTCTTAATGCCTTTATAAGCTATGATATTGTTATAAAAAATAATTATAACATTGTCTTGTGGAATGTATAAAGTATTGATGTAATACACATAACAGTTACCACAGGATAAGACTGTAAATGGACTTGAAACCTGAAAGGTTTCAACAGTGTATTTTATGAGAAGTGGCATGATTAACTCTGTAGATGCTGCAAAGTTGAGTATATATTACAATCTCTAGGACAACCACTAAAAAAAATAAGCAAAGAAATACAGCTAAAAATAGGGAAATTAAGATTGTAAAAATTATTCAAACAATAAAGTGAAAATCAGGAAACAAGAAAGAGGAAGGCAAGAAGTAGAGAAGTAGAAAGCAAACACCCTTCCCCCCCGAAAAAGATTACAGACCAAACTCGGTCGTATCAATAATTTCATTAAATGTACATCCAGTACATTTACCAGGATAGGCCACATCTGGGGCCACAGAAATGTCTTAATGAGCTTTAAAAGGCTAAAATCATGTACAGAATATTCTTTGATCCAGTGAATTTAAATTAAAAATCTGTAAAAAATAAGAAGACCAGAATACATATTTGGAAATTAACATATTTCTCAATAATCATTGGGTCAAGCGGATTTTACAGGGAAAATTGGAAGTAATTTGAACTGAATAATAACATAATTTAGCATATCAAAATTTGTGAGATGTAGCTAATACCATGCATGAAGGGAAAGTTTTAGCTTTAATAGTCTTACTAAAAGGAGGGAAAATGAAACCAAAATTCTAAGCTTCCATCTTAACAGATTAGAAGAAGAAGGGAAAATTAAAGGCAAAGTAAGTAGAAGAAAGGAATAAAAAAAGAATGTAATTCTGTGGAGCAGAATTTTAAAAGCATAGAAATAATAATACCACTGGAATTAATCCTGTCTGCACAGTGTTTTTCATTCATCAACTAATTACTGTGTGAAATGCCTTTACCTTCATACTGGCTCAGTGTTACCCCACTCAGAAAGATAGTATCATTTCTTTTTTAAAACATTTTATTTGAATTTAGTAGCTTTACAGTATTGTTATTTCAGTTGGACCAAAAAGTCAGTCAGTTACACACATACATATATATCCACTCTTTTTTCAGTTCTTTTCCCATTTAGTTTATTACAAAGTATTGAGTAGAGTTCCTTGTGCTATACAGTAGGTTCTTATTAGTTATCTTAATTTTATGTACAGTAGTGTACATGCGTCAGTCCCAATCTCCCAATTATTATTTCTTCTTCCTGTTGTGCTCTCTGCCTCCTGTCCACCTACTATCCTTTCAGAAAGTTTCAGTTCAGTTCAGTCGCTCAGTCGTGTCCGACTCTTTGCGACCCCATGCACTGCAGCACACCAGGCCTCCCTGTCCATCACCAACTCCCGGAGTTCACCCAAACTCAGGTCCAGGTTGAGTCGGTGATGCCATCCAACCATCTCATCCTCTGTCGTCCCCTTCTCCTCCTGCCCTCATCTCTCCCAGCATCAGAGTCTTTTCAAATGAGTCAGCTCTTTGCATCAGGCGGCCAAAGTATTGGAGTTTCAGCTTCAACACCGGTCCTTCCGATGAACACTCAGGACTGATCTCCTTTAGGATCTCCTTCAGTTCGTCGGTTCCACTTGTAGGAAGATATTTGGAATCTCAGTTGATTTACAAAGGACCAGTGTCACTGAAGGTACAACATATCGAGTCAAAGATACACATGAGGGCAGAACTTCCAGCTCCTCCAGAAGGAGCAGAGGGAGCTGGGGACCAAATGGAAACAACCTTGCAGGATGTAGATGTGTACGTATACAGATTATGCGTGTGTACATATACAGATTTCACCCTAACGTTTCAGATGCAGGAAACCAACCCCTTTAGTACCACCCATCTTCCAACTCTTGTGGTAGCAGGTTCCATAAATCTGCTCATCTGTGTGTTCCACTCCAAAAAATTCTAGAATGTTCTAAAGATTGTGTGTACTTGTACTTTATATGTCTTCAAGTAGAGCAGGAGGCATGATTCAGAGAGAAACTTCACGTGCAGTTATATGGAGAGGAACTGAACACATTTCACCGTATCTAATGGACCCCTCGATGAAACACGGGATATGTTTTTGTCGGAGCTAGTCAATTCATTTTACCTAAATGTCTGTCAAAAGCTAGTGAGTTCCTTGCTGTCTCACGCTGCTTTTTTATTTCCTCTGTTGTAGATAAAGAATTCATCTACAGAGAGCAGAAAGGAAGTGTGATACTGCGGAATGTTGAAACAAATACTTCTACGGTGTTAATAGAAGGCAAAAAAATTGTAAGTACTCCCTTTAATGGCCAGGGTAATTTCAGTTTTCCCGCCTTCGAGTCAATAAAGCAGAAAATGACTTTAGGTTTCAACTTATAGTATAGCCAAGCAGAAGCAGGAAATTTGTAATACTACAGACTGAGCAGCTAAAGATAATGTGAAACTGAAACCACACTAATTTAATAAGATGAAAGCTTAGTTTCTCTAAGTGTATGGTAAGTTTCTCCGCAGGTGTTGGAAACAAGTGTTGCATATCATATATAATTGAAAGACAAGTCCTAAGGCTTTACACATTTACAGAACAATTGGGGGTAATGCAGAGAATACTTCAGGATGGCTTGGTCGATCTCATTTTTTAAAAAACGCATCCTCACATCCACAGGGAATATTAATTTAGGCGCTGACAATACTTACTCTATAATGACATTAAGTGATGTTTATGCTTTAGAACAAGGACGGAGTCGATATGAATGCCAGTACTTCATCATTGGGAATACCTGTTTTCCCAAAGATAATGGCATTAAGATTTGGAGCTCTTGTACAGTTAATGGTATTTATTGAAGAATTGACTGAAGTTATGTACCAGAAATCAATTTAAAGAGCATCAACTCTTTTTTTTTTCACATATGTTCACGCTTATTTTTAGAAGGAATCAATCTTCAGCTTTAGGGAGTCTGTCCTTTTCTTGTCCAATATACTGAAAGGAAGTCGCAGGAAGAAACTAAGTCAAGTCTGTTAAAAGAAAGACTTGAAACAGACCAAGAATTTGCAGTCAGAACAGTCATAACAAGCATCTGGTGTGAATCACAAACACAAGGAATCCTGAAATTCTGGGATCTGGGGATGAGGGCCCACGGGGTGGGGAAGAGCTACCTGGTTTTATAGCTAAGGATCCTGAGCCCAGTAAGGGTGTGAGCTTGTGGAGTGCACTGGATGAGGACTCGGGCTGGTCCCCGGAGCCTCCATCCCAGACAAGAAAGGATGAGAGGACCACTCCATCTCTGTGCCGCCCACCCCCTCCTCCACACACACACACACAAATGCTGCACCACCTTCTCCAGAACACAAAGCTTGCCTTTTGAACACTCTTCATTTCTTTTCAGTGTAGCGATACCTTGTTCTTTAAAAGTAAGCATTTTAGTGGTGTTTAGAATGAAATGGATCCCGCCCTTTACAGAGACTGTTTGCAGATGTGAGGGAGGCCTGGAATAGCTGTATGATGGTATAATTCCCAAAACGACAGGTTTATTGAATTCAATAGTATTCTGGCAAAGTAGGACCTGACCCAGAAAGAATGAATGCGCCTGCATTTTTTTTGTGTGAAAAACCATCTGTGATAGAATGACTGCTCTCAGAAAAGCTGATTCAACTCACTTAAAAATACAGGAGCTGCAGAAATGGTTCTCTAATAATAATCGAGAGGAGAAAGTAACGGGACTGTTGCTGAGGGTAAGTACGTGTTAGTGTCAAGATAGTGCCGATACTTCCTGTGAGGACATCGGTTTGCCGACAGCAGGTGCTGTCCGTACAGCTCCGTAAGACTAGGAATGGCCTTCTCTTTCTCGGATCAATACCTTGTGACAGATTGTGTATTGTAACTCATGTTGTTTTAGCCAAGTAATAAAGCAACTTGGAAAACACCTTAGGTAAAGAAAAAAGGAAGAACTCTTCTTGAAAATCGAAAGGCATATCCTCTATAATGAAATTTCTTCTTAATGTGTCATTTATTCACTCACATCAGAAACATTTGTTGAGTGCCAAAGGTATACATACATTCTGATTAATACTGTTCATGATCAATCCAGTTTATTCCTGGCTCAAAGCTGCATGTAAAGACTCCTATAAACAGACCTCAAATAAGTTCNGAGGGCGTGTGGGCTGCAGAGAGCAGGAACGCAGGGCAGTGACTCTGGTCTGATTGACCCTCACCCCTTTGCGATGATGGCTCACCAAGCAGTCTCTCCTTATTCGAAACTCAGAAGCTTGAGATTGTTTCAGTGATAAAGGTAAGCTGAGAGAGAGAACTGTGCTACCTGTGAGGCTACCTGTCATCTTTAGGTTTATCTTAAAATGACCCAGAACTAGAGGAGGAGACATGAGCACGAAGCAGTGAGTGCCTGGGCCAGGAGTTTAGACTAGTAACCTGCAGTCTGACCCCTGACCTCATTCTCCGTCCCCAGCCTCACAAGCAAGGGCACATGGGTACCCCAGCCCACTGGCCTTAAGCATCGTCCTGGCACCTTGGCTTCTGTGACTGGCTCTTCCCCAGGATGGATCAATGGAAGGGAATGAGGCTGAATGCCACTCACACTAGCCAATTCAGCAGAAGGGCTTTATAGATCTTTGATGATTATGCAGATGAGAGCTTGCCCTGTGCTGGGCTCACCTGGAGGGGTCTCACTTGCCCCCCAACAACTTCCTTTAACAAAAAGGAGTTCATGTGTCCCTTCTCACACCTTCAAATGGTAGAAATCAGATCATGAACTGTTTCAGAATTCCACAAATAGCTTAAGCTGTGAGCTCAAGGAGACATTTAGCCTTCTATGGTAATTCCATCCTGGTTCGTACTGTTACTTGCATTCTTTGGGGTTTTTTAATGTTATTTTCTGATAGATATTTTCAGATTCTTATTATTTGGTAGTGTATATTTGATGTGACATGATAATTGACTTTAGGAAGCATTTGCCAAAATATATTGGCCAGGGGACTTCCCTGGTGGTTAAGACTGCCTTCCAATTCAGGGAGTGCAGGTTTGATCCCTGGTCGGGAAGATAAGATCCCACATGCCTTGCAGCTCCCCCCTCCCCCCAAAAAAGCAGAAACAATGTTGTAACAAATTCAATAGAAACTTAAAAAATTAGTCCACATCTGAAAAAAATCTTTAAAAAAAAAATCTTGGTTCACTTTCTGATTTTTTTAATACTTTTGAGGTGTTCCTTTTAGATTTCTATGGGAAATGAAATCACAAGCACATGTCTCAGAGCCGGGGACGTGCTGCTCAGTTGTAAAGCTCATCGGAGGCAGGTTTAGTTCTGCCAGGTTTAGTTTTGTCTCTTCCATGGTGCTTGGCACTGTGACCTGCACACAGTAGGTGCTCCATAACTGTGTACCATGTGAATGAACATAAAAGATCGTGAAACAGGAGTGAGCCGTCGGTCTCCCGGAGCATCAGTGCGGTAAGGCTGGGGGTGGTCCCTGACCCAGCTCCTCCCCACGTTGATGTTGCTGTCTGCCTGGGAGCGGCAGGCCTTCAGGCAGCTGTGGAAGCTCCGTGCATCCTCTCGCGCCTCCCAGGAGCATTTTCTGGACGACTTGAGAAGACAGACGTGGCAGACTGGGATGTGAGCGTCAGTCAATGCGGCTCAGGATTGTGAGAGAGCCCCGCTGGATCAAGGCTCCGGCAGGATGCCCAGGGTGACCAGGCCAGCAGTGGTGGCCGGAGAATTAGCATCCTGGGCTTTGAGCCGCTTCCCTGTAGGAGTTGGGTCTAGGCTGTGTCCCAAAGTGAGGCAGGTGCATTCCCTCCAATTTCTAAAAATGAAGTCTAAGCCAGCTTTCAGGTGAATTCTGTGCATGTAGCCCTCATTTTACTGAGCTTTGCAGATACTGTGTTTTTTCCACAAATTGAAGGTTTGTGGCCACCTACGTCAAACAAGTCTTCTGGTGCCATTTTTCCAACAGCATTTGCCCACCATGTGTCTCTGTCACATTTTGGCAGTTCTCACCATACCTCAGATTTTTCGTTATATTTGTTATGGGGAACTGTGACCGGTGATTTTTAATGTTGCTATTGTAATTGTTTGTGGGATCCCCTGGGGAGCACCCATATAAGACGGCAAACTTAACTGAAAATGTGGTGTGTGTTCTGACCACTCCCCACTCCCGGCCATTCCCCTGACTCCCTCTTCTCAGTCTCTCTGTTCCCTGAGACTCAACAGTATTGAAATTGGGCCAGTTAATGGCCCTACAAGGTCCTCTAAGTATTCAAGTGTAAGGAAGAGTCACATGCCAGGCCTCTCACCTTAAATCAAGTCAGAAGTGGTGAAGCGTAGTGAGGGAGGCTCCTCGAAAGCCAAGACGAGCCGAAAGCTAAGCCTTTGCGGCCACTTACCCGTGTTGTGAACGCGAAGGAAGAGTTCCTGAAGGAGGGTAAGAGTGCTCCTCCAACGACCACACGAATGATATGAAAGCAGAATAACCTCATTGCTGTCGTGGAGAAAGTTTTAGTGTTCTGGACAGAAGATCTGAACAGCCACCGCGTTGCCTTAAGCCAAAGTCTAATCCAGGCAAGGCCCTAACTCTTCAGTTCTGTGAAGCCTGAGACAGGGGAGGAAGCTGCAGGAGAAAGTCTGAAGCTGGCAGAGGCTGGTTCATGAAGTCTGCGGAAGGAAACCGTCTCTCTAGCATCAAGTGCAGGGTGAAGCAGCAAGTGCTGATGTAGGAGCTGTAGGTCATCCAGAAGACCTACGTAAGATAATCAGTGAAGGTGGCTGCAGTAAACCACGGATTTTCAATACATTGGGTTGGCCAAAATCCCAGGAGATGGACCAGATGAACTTTTTGGCCAGCCCAATAGATGAAACAGTCTTTTGTTGAAAGAAGACACCATCAAAGACTTTCATAGCTAGAGAGAAGTCAATACCTGACTTCAAAGCTTCAAGGGACAGGCTAACTCAACAAGAGTTGAGGGTTAATGCAACTGATGACTTTCACTTGAAGCCAGGGCTCATTTACCATTCCAAAAAGTCCTAGCGCCCTTAAGAATTAGGCTAAATCTACTCTGCCCTGTGCTCTATAAACAGAACAACAAAGCCTGGATGATGGCTCATCCGTTTACAACATGGTCTACTGAGTATTTTAAACCCACTGTTGGGACCTACTGCTCAGAAAAGAAGATGCCTTTCAAAATATTACTGCTCATTGACAAGGCACCTGGTCCCCAGAAGCTCCAATGGAGATGTACAACGAGATTAACGTTCTCATGCCTGTGAACACAACCATTCTGTAGC